CTCTTACCATGGTATCTTGGTTTGCTTGTGTTTTGGTTTGCTTATAAAGAGAAAGATCTAATTTTATTTATTTATTTTTGAGTTGGGGTCTCACTCTGTTGTCCAAGCTCCAGTGCAGTGGCAGTATCACAGCTACTGCAGCCTCAAGTGGCTGGACTCAGGGATTCTTCTGCCTCAGCATCCCAAGTGGCTGGAATCACAGCCCCACGCTCCACGCCAGCTAATTTTTTTTTTTTTTTTTAGTTGGAGTCTCAATTCGACGCCCAGGCTGGAGTGCAGTGGCATACTCATGGCCACTTCAGTCTGACATGCTGAGCTTAGGCGATCCTTCCTCCTCAGCCTTCCAAGTAGCTGTAACTACAGACATGTACCCAGCTAATTTTCCTTGATATATTGTAGAGATGAAGTCTTGCCAAGTTGCCCAGGCTGGTCTCAAACCCTTGAGCACAGGCAATCCTCTCACCTCGGCCTCCTAAATTGCTGGGATTACAGGTGTGAGCCATCGTGCCCAGCCTAATTTTTTATTTTACTGTAGTTGAGGTGTCGTCATGTTGCCCAGGCTGGTCTCGAACCCCTAGGCTCAGGCAGCCCTCTCACCTAGGCCTCCCAAAGTGCTGGGATTACAGGCGTGAGCCACAGTGCCCAGCAAGAAAAATCTAATTTTATACATTTCCAACACTGACTTATGTATGGTTTTGTTTATTTAATAGCATCTGACTTCCTTGGGTGTAACTGACCAGCCTTCCCGGATTCAGAATACTTGGGGTACAGTAGCATACGGACAGACAGGAAGAAAGATGCCTTCTCTTATGTAGATAAGGTGGGCTAGCAAGTTGCTATGAATTGGCATCTATATTCTCCCTCTTTATACAGCTAAAATGAAACTGTGCCGCCAACTAGTGTGCCTCATTAGAATTCAAGATGGGTTTTTCCATAAAAAAATTATAAAATGGTGAATATGGAGAGTTAAAACAGTGCAATGAGACTGAGCATGGTGGCTCACACCTGTAATTCCAGCACTTTGGATGGCTGAGGCAAGAGGACTGCCTGAGCCCAGTGCTTCGAGACCAGCCCGGGCAACTTGTTGAGACCTTGTCTCTACAATAAATCAAAAAAATTAGCCGGGCGTGGTGGCAAGTCTGTAGTCCTAGCTACTTGGAAGGCGAGGTGGAAGGATCACCTGAGCCCAGCTGGTTGAAGGTGAATCCTGTGTCCTTTGCATTTGTATTTCACAGGTTTATGAGAAACTGTCATGAAAAACTGCTCTAAGCACTTTAGGCTCAGCTTGAGGCTGTGGTAGCCATGAGCATGCCACTGCACTCCAGTTAGGTGACAGAGTGAGATTCCAACTCAAAATAAAAAGTACAATGAGAACTATGTTCCGGATACATTATGGATTAAGTGGGCCTGGGATGTCCTTCAACATTATTGTTTATTGATATGATAAAAAATTCCTGGGGGTGGGGAGAAAAAAAGTTCCTGGTGCCAAACCAAAAAAAAAAAAAAAAGTGAACTGACTCCGTAAGTCTTAATTTTCTTGAGACTTAAATATTTGTCTTCATTAATAATTAACAATATTTTCTTCCTTGTACTTTTAATTTTCAGTTAAAGATTGCCAGATTGATCAGACAAGGTAGCTCATGTCTGTTATTCCATTGCTTGGGAGGTCAAAGCAAGATGATCATTTGAGCCCAGGAGTTAGAGGTTACAGTGAACTGAAATCATGCCACTGTACTCCAGCCTGGGTGACAGAGTAAGAACCTGTCTGTAAAAAAACAACTATCGGCCGGGCCGGGCTCAGTGGCTCAGTCTGTAATCCCAGCATTTTGGAAGGCTGAGGAGAGTGGATTGCCTGAGCCCGCGGATATGAGACCAGCCTGGGCAACTTGTCAGATCTCGTCTCTACAATAAATATAAAATTAGGCGGGTACGGTAGTGTGCACCTGTAGTTCTGGTTACTTGGAAGGCTGAGGAGGAAAGATCGCCTGAGCCCAGCAGGTCGATGCTGGGGTGGCCGTGAGTGTGTCACTGCACTCCAGCCTGGGCGACGGTGTGAGACTCCACCTCAAAAAAAAAAAACTGTCAATATTTTTTAATTCTTCCAGTTATTTCTTTTCCCAGAGTCAGCTATATGCATGCCTAGGTTGTAGATATTTATCTCTATAGATATAAATACATGATTATTCATATTCTGAGAAGCTTCTTTTTAACTTATCTATCTAATATCATACAGTAGCAAGTTAATTGTTAAGAGTGACTTGTGAGCCCGGTGCGGTGGTGTGTGTTTGTAGTCTCAGCTACTCAGGAGGCTGAGGCAGGAGGATCACTTGAGCCCAGGAGTTTGAGACCAGCTGGGGAAAAACAGCAAGTCTCTAAAAACTAAGAATAAAAGTAAAAAGTGATTTGAGCCTCTGCTACTATGTTTGCATGTTATTATGTTTGTTTGTATTTGTTATTTGCTTGCTTTTAAGTCTAAATATAAATTAGTACCCATACCAAGGGCTAAAGAGAAATCAGAGGAACCTTTACAGAAACAAGAAACTATGACATAGAGTAGAATTTTTCTCTCTTCTCCACTGTCTTTTGATTCTGTTTTCATGGGAATTTCTGCCTGCCCATAAATATGACATAGAGTAGCTTGGGCACACACCTGCCTCATGGAGTCATAGGAAAGCACAAACATGGCAGAAGCCAAAGGGTGAATCCTGTGTCCTTAGCGTTTGGATTGCACAGGCTTATGAGAAACTGTCATGAAAAACTGCTCTGAGCACTTTTGGCTCAGCGGGCTACTCAGCTTGCTGGGCTGGCTTCATGTGCAGCCGCAGGGGTACTGAACCTGCTTCCAGTCATGTGAGTCACTGAACTAGGTCCTAGATCCAAGTGTGGCAGCCCTAAATTTCATTGGTGACACCACTCCTCAAAGGTTTTTTCAAAGAGCATGTTGATCATATTGTGGCAATGTGTTGTGCAGGAGGAAGGGAATGAATTCCATGTATTATAAGCCAGTGGCAGGTTGGGGCCCCTGGAGGAACCAGACAGCAATGTTGATGGGGGAAGCGGGGAGGAAAGCAAAGAGAGGCGGGAGAGCAGCGACCTGTCGGAGCTCCCATGAAGAACCTGGGGGACAGCTGCCAGGTCCTGAGAGAGCCCACATTACTGGGGCACATGCGTTTACAGCTGCCAAGCCAACAATAGGTCGTTAAAGAAAAACATTGTTGCCGGGTTCAGTGGCTCAGCCTGTAATCCCAGCACTTTGGGAGGCCGAGGTGAGTGGATTGCCTGAGCCCGCAGGTTTGAGACCTGCCTGGGCCACTTGGCGAGACCTCATCTCCACAATAAATCAAAAATTAGCCGGGCGTGGTAGCGCGCGCCTGTAGTTCCAGCTCCTTGGAAGGCTGAGGCCGAAGAATCGCCGGAGCCCAGCTGGCCGAGGCTGCGGTGGCCCGGAGCAGCCACTGCACTCCAGTCTGAGTGACAGAGTGAGACTCCAACTCAAAAAAAGAAAAAAAGAAAAACATTGTCCTTGAATCCGCTGAAGAGGAAGCAAAGCCAGTTTCATTTTTTATTAGAAAAGTGGAAATGTGAATCATCTTTTCCTCCCTGCCTCCTTCCTGTTTTTCCTATTTGCTGTGTTTTTCGTTTTGATTTGCTTTGACTAAACTGTTGTTAACAGAAGGATTAATATTTTCCTCCAACTTTCCATCTTAACTCTACTTCAGATATCTCAGTTCTGCTTGCTTTCCTACTTAGACTGCAAAACAAAAGAAACAAAGGAAGCTTTTCTAAACTTATATTTAGTATTTCCCTTTTTAAAAAATTTTTTATTTTATTTTTTTGAGTCGGAGTCTCCCTCTGTCGCCCAGGTTGGAGTGCAGTGGCATGCTTGTGACCACTGCAACCCTGACCTGCTGGGCTCAGGTGATCCTTCTGCCTCAGTTTTTCAAGTAGCTGGAACCACAGGCATGCACCACCACACCCTGCTAATTTTTTTATTTATTGCAGAAACGAGGTCTTGCCATGCTGCCCAGGTTGGTCTCGAACTCTTGGGCTCAGGCAGTCCTCTTGCCTCTGCCTCCCAAAGTGCTGGGATTACAGGTGTGAGCCACCACACCTGGCAGTATTTCTCTTTTTAAATAGTAAAAGTAAATATGTGTGTGTGTGTGTGTGTGTGTGTGTGTGTGTGTGTGTGTTTTAAGTCAAATCATACAATGAAAAGCACAAAATGAAAAACAAAACTCCCCTCCTTCCCTTAACTCAGTACCACTCGCCAGAGACACTCTCAGAAAAAATGTTTTTAAATTGGACTAAAGGTTTAGAATCCACAGTATTTCCAAATTGAAGTTCAATATAAAGGGGATGCTTTCTAAATACCTCCGTAAGCACAAAATGGATATAATTTATCACCCCTCTTACATATCTGCGTATGTAGACTAAAAAGTTAGAAGGGTCTTAAAGTCCAGCCAAGTCTCCTTCGTTTCCCTCAAATAAGAGGACTCATTGAATATCCTCAGGAGAGGCCAAGCACATGCTTGTAATCTCAGCACTTTGGAAGGCAGAGGTGGAAGGATTGCTTGAGCACAGGAGTTCAAGACCAGCCTGGTCAACATAGCAAGACCTAGCCTCTACCAAAAAAAATTTTTTAATTACCAGGTATGGTGGTGTGTGCCTGCAGTTCCAGCTACTTGGGAGGCTGAGACAGAAAGATTGCCTGAGTCCAGGAGGTAGAGGCTGCAGTAAACTGTGATCATGCCACTATACTTCAGCCTGGGTGACAAAGTCAGACCCTGACTCAAAAAAGAATTTTGTTTTTGTTTTTGTTTTTTAAATCCTCAGGACAGAAGATCAAGAATCAGATCAGAAATCAGAGAACTTAACCGGCTGTTGCTTTCACCTTAACCCCCATGTTGTGGGAACTAGAGGTGTTCAGAGTCACCCTCTAAAACTCTTGTCCCTCATCTCAATCTCCAAACAATGAGTTTCCTCCTTTTCTCTCCCTTTAGGAAGAAGACAAGCCCATTCTCTACGTGTTCAATGCTGTAACCCAAGAGACAATGTCAATCATGGAGAGCATTTCCCTTCTTGATAAAAAAGTGTCTGATCTGAGAACACTGGTGACTCTAAGATGCGGCTTCCCAGTAGGTGTCTACTGTCTGCGGACCCCAAAGGGATTGGAGATGTATGACTGCAATACCCTCAAGGACTACCAGATTGACATTGGTACTGCCCTCTACATTGGGTATCAGTTAGTCCTCAGCACTAGTGTTCTTTGATACCAGATTTTGAAGCTTTTCAAGAAAGAATGGAAATCTGGATCTTTATATGCAATCTGTTAACTTTACTTACATATGTATTTAATGTTTAAATGCATATTTATTTTAAGATGTAGCTAATACATTCATATATCATTTGCATAGTTAAATATCAGAAGTATGGCCGGGCTCGGTGGCTCAGCCTGTAATCCCGCGCCTTTGGGAGGCTGAGGTGAGTGGATCGCCTGAACCCACGGGTTCGAGACCCACCTGGGCAGCGAGACCTCATCTCTACAATAAATCAAAAAATCAGCTGGGCGTGGTAGCGCATACCTGTAATTCCAGCTACTCGGAAGACTGAGGCGGAAGGATCGCTGGTGCCCAGCAGGTCGAGGCTGCGGTGGCCAGGAGTGGCCACTGCACTCCAGTCTGGGCAACAGAGTGAGACTCCAACTCAAAATATATATATATATATCAGAAGTATGAACATGTGAGTATTGGGAAATCTTTCTCCCTCTCCTGGCCCTCCAAGCACTAAGCTTCCTCCCCATAGGTGACCATTATTGCTTGGAAGGTTTAGAATCAAAAGCATTTCCAAGTTAAATCTCAACACATGGAGAAGTTATTTCCAAACGGAAACCTCTGTAAATTGTATGGATGTAAATTGTATGGAAGCGTAAGTACTTCATTCTCATGCCTGGATCTACAGACTAAGAAATAAGAAAGCTCTCATAACCCTGTCGAGTATTGTTCTCAAAGCAGGATTCACTAATATTCTCAGGATGGGAGGTCAAAACTCAGACCACTTCATCTTTTTCTCTTTCAAAATATATTTTGAGCATACATAAAAGTTGAAGTGCACATTCTTTTCCCCCCTTTTAATGAAAGGTACCATATGATACACACTGCTCTGGACCCTGCATTATGCAATCTCATTTTAAAATGTTGCTGGTTATATTAAAATAATCTTAACACCGTAAAGCCAACACTGCTGATTCAAAAGCTGCCCTAATGGACTGGTGATTACTGCTGATGGACAGATTCTCTTTAAATACTATAGTTCCAGTTCATATCTGCTGTAGGCACATGTCAATAAGACAAGCTCAAAGTGCTGTCAGAATTGTTCTAGGCATTTTAGAAAATGGTTTGAATCTCACAGAAATTATTGCTTGAGGTGAATGAGTCCTTGCTCACAATTAACCCATCTTTAGGTAACGTTGCACTGTAACATTTGTTGCCATGAAATTTGAGTCCTCCTAACATATGTATGGGGCTTTGTAGGAATCTTATAACTGCTAAATTTGCTTGTTTTTGTTTTTTAAGTTGGAGTCTCACTGTTGCCCAGGTTGGAGTGCAGTGGCATGTTCACAGTGGCCACTGCAGCCTCAAACTGCTGGCCTCAGGTGATCCTTCCGTGTCAGCCTTCCAAGGAGCTGGAACCACAGGCACACACCACCTTGCCCAGCTAATTTTTTAAAATGTATTGTAGAGACGAGGTCTTGCTAAGTTGCCCAGGCTGAACTTGAACCCCCGGGTTCAGGCAGTCCTCACCTCTGCCTCCTAAAGTGCTGGGATTATAAGTGGGAGCCACCACGCCCGGCTAAATTTGCAAGTATTACTACTTCTCTTGACTATTTGCTTAGCATGACTCTTTCATGTTATTTTAAATTGAGGCTCTCAAAACTTTGACATCAATGACTATCCCGTTCTTGATCAGAGGAAATGAAGTTCTAGGATTTGTCCCTAGAGTCCTTCACTAAAAAACACACCTGCTCTGTGAGTTTGTGAAGGCTGAACCCTGCCCAGAACATGATGGGGACTTACGTGAGGAGAGGCACACAGTGGCATTTGTGCCCATGTACTGATAATCCAGTTATTTAATGATATACCCAAAGATAAAACAAAACTAGAATAAACTCTGGATGACTGCTTCTCAGGCCTGTACTGCTCAGATTATGATGTGACATTTGAAACTAGAAGAGAACTTAAAAATGGCTTGGCCTAACCTCAACTTCTACAGATTTTTTTAAAAAAGAAAACCGTCTGAATAATGAAATGACTAGCTCAGGTTGTGTCAAGGACAGCACACCAGCCTCTTAAAATGACCCTCTGGGAGTAAGAGCTTGAGAGACTGGGGTTTTCAGATACAAGATCAAGGGTCCGAGCAGGAGCTGGGTAGACTGCCTAAGCCACCAAGAGAACACAGGGCCTCAGAGGAGAGGCAAGGATAGAAGGGCTTCCAGACAAGGGGATGGACCCTTGGCCTGCTTGGCACCTTTGCCTAAAGCATAACTTGTATTTCCTAAGCAGCCAGCCCACCTTTTCTTTAAGCTACAGGGTAAGGAGTCCTTGATAGGCTTCTCTGCTAGATTCTTCCCTCTCTGATCAGTGAGTCATCCCTGCTGTTATCAGGAGTTGAACCTTGGCCTCTTCTCCAAAGGCAGTGGACAATCAGAAGGTTTTGGAGAGGCAGTGAAGTCCAGGTTGAAAATCAAAAATTTAAGTAGCTCAATTGGTCACTGCATATACGAGTTCATACGGAAATATGCAAAGCTACCTCTGGGTGTTTACAGTAGGGTAGTAGAAATGCACATACACTCGGTTATAATCCAGTAAGTTGACTCCATGTAGGCAGAAGGGATCAAGGGAAGGCATTCTGGCGAACACAGGGCTGGAGCACCCAAGGATGCAGGAACTGTAGATTATCTGAGAGGAGGAAAGGAGGACATCCCAGGCTTCCAGGCCTGGAGAAAAACACTAGTACAGGGCCGTGAACCCGGGCTTATCCCAGGGAGGGACAGAATGCAGGAGACCATTCTGGAGAGTGGAGGAGCCTCACTCAGAGCTCCGAGGCAGATGGAGGAGGGTACTGGGGGTGAGGCGACAGAGTGCAGGCTGGATGTGGTTGTAGCCAGAGTCATGTGCATTCTGGAACAGGAGTGTTTTAAGAGAAGTTTAAGACCGGGAGCAGTGGCTCACATCTATAATCCCAGCACTTTGGGAGGCCAAGGTGAGAGGATTGCTTGAGCCCATGGGTTCAAGACCAGCCTAGGCAATTTGGTGAGACCTCATCTCTACAATAAGTTAAAAAAAAAATTAGCCAGTCGTGGTGGCATGTGCCTGTAGTTCCAGTTACTTGGAAGACTGAGACGGTAGGATCACCTGAGCCCAGCAGGTCGAGGTTGCAGTGGCCATGAGTGTGCCACTGCACTCCAGCCTGGGCTACAGAGTGAGAGACTCCAACTCAAAGTAAATAAATAAATAAAATAATTGTAAAAAAAAAAAAAAGAGAGAGAGAGAGAGATGTTTAATCTGGTAGCAAGCAGTATGAAATACAGAAAGGAGTGAGGAGAGCCTGCAGGCGGGTGATATGCTCACTGGCACGTTTGATAACCCCAATCTTAGTGAATTTCACTAGCAATGGAAAAGACAAATCTGAGAAACACAGGGAAAAGAGACAGAATGTCATGCTAGGTGGCATTTAAGAAAAGGGAATCAGACTGGGCGCGGTAGCTCATGTCTATAATCCCAGCACTTTGAGAGGCCAAGGTGAGAGGATTGCCTGAGCCCATAGGTTCAAGACCAGCCTGGGCAACTTGACCAGACCTCATCTCTAAAATAAATCAGAAAACTAGTCCAGCGTGGTAGCGCACACCTGTGGTTCCAGCTACTTGGGAGGCTGAGGCAGAAGGATCACCTGAGCCCAGCAGTTCAAGGCTGCGGTGGCTGTGAGCCATGTGCCACTGCACTCCAGCCTAGGTGACAGAGTGAGACTCCAACTCAAAAAAAAGAAGGCAAGGGAAGCATCAAAGTTCTGACACTAGGACAGTGGTGGGGAAGTTGAGGAAAGAAGTTAAGCTCTGGGTCCCAAGCATTAGATATGAAGAAACTCAGAGAGTACTTATTACTCAGTTGTCAGTCAGGCAAAGCTGGAAGTACACTGAGGTCTTGGGATTCTTCTTCCTCTACAAACATGGGGCTGGGGCTTACGTGATGGCTTGGCTTCATAAATATGGATTAGGAGTCCTGATCATGGAGGTAGGGGTCTAGTCCATGAGAAGTGTACTCCTCAGAGAGTAAATAGAGAGAGAGAGAGAGACGACCCAAGGGCTAAGGGTCAGCATTCAGGACACACCGAGGTCAGGGCAAGCAGACAGAAGAGGAGGCAAGCTCTGGAAAGCTGTCAGAGTTGGGGGTAGAACCGAGACTCCATCTGTATTGTAACTGATGATGAAGGGATAGTTTTCAAGATACCAGTAAAAGTCCAAAGACAATTCTAAGAAAAGAAACTTAGGACCTTTGGGTCATTTGTGGGCTCAGAGAGAGCAGCCTTAATAAAGTGAATGGGGACCGGGCACAGTGGTTCATGCCTGTAATCCCAGCACTCTGAGAGGCTGAAACAGGAGGATTGCTTGAGTCCAGGAGTTCAAGACCAGCTGGGCAACATACAAGACCTCGTCTCTAAAAAAAATAAAAATAAAAAATAGCTGGGTGTGGTGGTCCACACCTACAGTCCCAGCTACTTGGGAAGCTGAGGAAAGAGGATTGGTTGAACCCAGAACATCAAGGCTGCAGTAAGCAGTGACCCAACTCAAACAAAAAATAATAATACCAAAAAAATAAACTGGATGGAGAAAAAAGTCACAGGGATTAAGAAGAAGATAAGTAATGAGAGGACAAAGGACTTTTTGGTGGTAGATCGTTTAATGGTTAACTTATTAAGAACCTACTTGGCAATTTATAACTCCACCACCATGAGACATCTCTATGGATACTGTACTTTTTTTCCCATTGGAGTTAATATATACTTTTGGGGGGGAAAAAGAATGTATCAAGCTAAACCTATCTTTTTTTTTTTTTTTTTGAGTCGGAGTCTTACTGTGTTGCCCCGGCTAGAGGGCAGTGGCATGCTCACGGCCACGACAGCCTCTACTTACTGGGCTCAGGTGATCTTTCTACCTCAGCCTTCCAAGTAGCTGAAACCACAGGCATATGCCACCACACCTGGCTAATTTTTTAAATTTATTGTAGAGACAAGGTCTTGCAATGTTGCTCAGACTGGTCTCGAACCCCTGAGCTAAGGCAATCCTCTCACCTCTGCCTCCCAAAGTGCTGGGATTACAGACTTGAGCCACTGTGCCTGGCCTAACATATCTTTTTTTTTTTTGGAGTTGGAGTCTCATTCTGTCACCCAAGCTGGAGTGCAGTGGCACACTCACGGCCACCCCAGTGTCAACTTGCTGGGCTCCGGCGATCCTTCCGCCTCAGCCTTCCAAGCAGCTGGAACTACAGGTGCATGTTACCACGCCCAGATAATTTTGTATCTATCATAGAGACGGGGTCTCGCCAAGTTCCCCGAGTTGGTCTTGAACCTGTGGGCTCAGGCAAGCCACTCGCCTTGGCCTCCCAAAATGCTGGAATTACAGGCTGAGTCACTGTGCCTGGCTTGTGAGCAGTCTTTTGAGATAACAGGGCTGCAGTGCAGGGGGAGTGTGGAGCTGGAGCAGAGGCCTGGGCTGGAGACTTGGACTTGGGAGTGGGTGGCACTGGGGAGGTCAATGGAACCGTCATCACCACTGAGACTGCCAGTTAATCAGTCAACAAGTATTTAGTGAGCACTTGCCTAGTGCCAAGCTGTGTGGCAAGTACAGAAGAAACTTTCTTTTTAATGGGCCAAGAAAAAAAATCTCCAACCAAGGACTGATGATGAGGGCTATGAAGCAGTTAGAATAAGGTCATGGGTTAAAAAGTGACAGAGGGCAGGAGGCAGCCTGGGCAACTTGGTGAGACCTTGTCTCTACAATAAATCAAAAATTAGCCGGGTGTTTGGTGCACACCTGTGGTTCCAGCTAGTTGGAAGGCTGAGGTGGAAGGATTGCCTGAGCCCAGCAGGCCGAGGCTGCAGTGGCTGTGAATGTGACAGAGTGAGGTTCTGACTCAAAAAAAAGGTCAAGGTGGAGAGAAAGGAGAGAGATCAGGGTAACCCACTATAGGAGGAGATGGGTGAATCCCAAGGAAATGTGTAGAGTGAGAAGAACAGAAGACTGAGGAAAGATGCTTGGAAAACACCAGCCTGAAGGACAAAAGGAACAGGGTATCAAGAAAGAGTAGATTTTGGGTGGGTGGGGTGCTTGGCTTCTCACTCTGTCACCCAGGCTAGGGTGCAGTGGCATGATCACAGCTCACTGTAGGCTCGACCTGCTGGGCTCAGGCAATCCAAATAGCTGGGACTACAGGTGCATGCCACCATGCCCAGTTAATTTTTTTATTTATTGCAAAGATGAAGTCTCTCCAAGTTGCCCAGGCTGGTCTTGAACCCCGGACTCCGGCAATCCTCTAGCTTCTGCTTCCCAAAGTTCTGGCATTACAAGGCATGAGCCGTGGTACCCAGTAAAGAAAGAATAGACTTTTGAAGAGCAAGCGATAAATTCACTGGCAGCAGTGAATTGCTTTTATGTTCACAACAGAGAATGGCTCCTGTTTCATGAAGGATTGAACAAGCAAATTCACTGGTATAATTCAACTCCCTCACGGCCCATTCGTAAGCTAAAGGCCCAAGAAGGCCATTTGTCCTGCCACAGTGCCCATAGCTCCCTCTTCCAATATAACAGCTTTAGCTTACATAGGAGTGTATGTAGCAGCATTGAATCAATGTCCACAGGACAGTTTTAACACAGCTGCAAGAAATATTTCAGCACTCCATGCAATCATTGAGCAGATGAGAAAATGGTAACTTGCAGAAGTGAAAGAGCTCCTCCAAGCCAAAAAAGGCCTAAGCTAAAGTTAGCACCCCTGTCTCCTTGTTCCAGGGTTCCCTTCCATTTTGCATCTAGCTCATGTCTCTGTGTAGAGCAAGCGATGATTAGAAGTTTTATGGATTGCCAAACCGCACTGCTGATCTGCCTCTCTTGATCCACAGGCATGACACTTCGTTTGGACGTCTGGGATGGATGGAAGGAATTCCTGATGGGTTGTCTCCTTGGAAAAAAACTTAAAGTCCAACGCTATTTATCAAAAGAAGGACCAATACTCAAGTATGAGAAGTTTTTTATTTTTATTTTTTGAGTCGGGGTCTCACTCTGTTGCCCAGGTTGGAGTGCAGTGGCACCATCATGGCTCACCTCAGCCTCTACTTCCTGGGCTCAGGCGATCCTTCTGCATCAGCCTCCCAAGTAGCTGGTACTATAGGCACACACTACGATGCCTGGCTACTTTTTAAATTTTTTTGTAGAGATGAGGTCTCTCTATGTTGCCCAGGCTGGTTTTGAAATTTGGGGCTCAAGTCATCCTCCCACCTCAGCCTCCCAAAGTGCTGTGATGACAGTCATGAGCCACTGCACCCAGTCAAGTATGAGAGATTAATGTTAAATTAACTTAGCAAGTGCTGTGATTTTTGATTCAATTTCCATTAGACCTTGAGCTTGCAATTCATTCTACAGCTGGGGTGACGCCCATGCCTGTTCCACTTAGCATGTCTCAAGCAGGCATTATTCAGATATCTGCTGCAAAAAAGCAGCAGGGATGTCACCAGGGTTAGCAGTCTTTGGGGGTGGGTTGTAAATCAGGCAGATTTTTCTCAGGAAATACTAACGACAGATGACCCTTGAACAATGAAGGGTCTAGGGGTGCCAATTCCCCATATGGTTGAAAATTGACATGTAACTTTTGATTCCCCAAAAACTTAACCACTAACAGCCTACTGTTGGCTGGAAGTCTTACTGATAACCTAGTCAATTAACACATATTTTGCATATTCTTTTTTTTTTTTTTTTTTTTTTTGAGACAAGATCTCGCTCTGACTCCCAGGCTAGAGTGCAGTGATGCAATCATGGCTCACTGCAGCCTTGACCTCCAAGGCTCAAGTGATCTCCTGCTTCAGCCTCCAGAGCATCTAGGACCACAGGCATGTGCTACTACACCTGGCTCATTTTTAGATTTTTTTGTAGAGAGGGTCTCACTATGTTGCCCAGGCTGGTCTTGAACTCAAGCAATCCTACTGCCTCAGCCTCCCAAAGCATTGGGATTGCAGACTTGAGCCACCACACCCAGCCTGTTATATGTACTATATACTATATTCTTATAGTAAAGTAAGCTAGAGAAAAGAAAATGCTATTAAGAAAATCATAAGGTCTGGGCACAGTGGCTCACACCTATAATCCCAGCACTTTCGGAGGCTGAGGTAAGAGGATTGCCTGAGCCCACAGGTTCAAGACATCCTGGGCAACTTGGCAAGACCTGTTCTCTACAATAAATCAAAAAATTAGCCAGGCATGGTAGTGCATGCTTATAGTTCCAGCTACTTGGAAGGCTGAGGCAGAAGGATCACCTAAGTCTAGCAGGTTGAGGCTATGGTGGCCATGAGCATGCCACTGCACTCCAGCCTGGGCAATAGAGTGAGACTGCCACTCAAAAAAAAAAAAAAAGGAAAAAAGAAAAAGAAAAGCATAAGAAAGATAAAATATATTTACTATTCATTAAGCTGTAGTAGATCATCATGAATTTCTTCACCCTGTAGTCTTCATGTTGAGTAGACTGAGGAGGAGGAGGAAGAAGAGTTGGTCATGCTGTCTCAGAGTGGCAGAGGTGGAAAAAAAATCCAGTAGAAGTGAACTAGTGCAATTCAAAGGTCAACTGTAATCAAATGTGTGACTTCAACTTGGTTTGTATATGAGACTTTTAGCAACACTTTTAAAGGCTAAGTATAGACAGTCGCCAATTTACGATGGGATTTGATTTAGATTTTTCAACTTTACAATGGCTCAAAGTGATAAGCTTTCTGCAGAAACCATACTTCCAGGGTCTACTTCAGTTTTCACTTTCCATACAGTAGTCAATAAACTAATGAGATTTTTAAACACTTTATTATAATATAGGCTTTGTGTTAGACGATTTTTCCCAACTGAAAGAGTTCTAAGCACATTCAAGGAAGGCTAGGCTAAGCTATGATGTTCAGCAGGTGTATTAAATGCATTTGGGGGCTGGGTGTGGTGGGTCATGCCTGTAATCCACCCACTTTGGGAGGCCAAGGCAGGAGGATTGCTTGACACCAGAGTTCGAGGCCCTTCACAACATAGCAAGGCCATGGCTCTACAAAATAAAATTTTAAAAATTAGGTAGGCATGGTGCGTGTGCCTTTAGTCCTAGTTATACTTGGAAGTCTGAGGCAGGAGGATTGCTTGAGCCCAGGAGGTTGAGTCTGAAGTGAGCTATAATTGTGCCACTGTACACCAGCCTGAGCAACAGAGTGAGAACCTGTGTCTGAAAAATAGCTAATTAAATAAATGCATATTCTACTCATGATATTTTTCTTTCTGTTTTAAAATTTTTTTGAGTCAGGGTCTCAGTCTGTCACCCAAGCTGGAGTACAGTGGTGCATCATAGCTCACTGCAGCCTTGAACTTCTAGACTCAAGCAACCCTCCCACCTTAGCCTCTCGGATAGCTGGGACAACAGGCATGCTCCATCAAGCCCGGCTAATTTCTAAAAAAAAATTGTAAAGATTCAGGGTCTTGTTATGTTGCCCAAGTTGATCTCAAACTCCTGGCCTCAAGCCATCCTCCTGCGTCAGCCTCCCAAAGCACTGGGAATACATATGAGTCACCCTGCCTGGTCCAATTTACGTTTTCAATTTAGGATGGGTTTAGAATGGACGCAACCCCATCATAAGTCGAAGAACATCTGTACCTTGCCACTTTCACATTCAGTTATTCTTAAAAACAAAAACCACTCTTGCTAATGGATGGCTTAAAACATTGACCACCTCTTCCTAAGTGCGAGTGCAATTTTTCAAACTACATTTAATATAAGCATTCACACTTTAACCACTCATGTAGTGCAGCAAGCATAGCTAGGGCAATGAAGGAGGGTAAGCTCAGAGAAACAGGTGGGTATTTTCATGTAGTCCCAGCTACTTGGGAGGCTGAGGCAGGAGGATCACTGGAGCCCAGGAGGTTAAGGCTACAGTGAGCCCTGATCATACCACCATTGCGTGCCAGCTCAGGCGACAGAGTGAGACACTGACTTAAAGATAGATAGATAGATAGATAGATAGATAGATAGATAGATAGACAGATAGATAAAAATTAGTGTATTAGTGCAACCAGCAGCTTCCCAGATATATAAATTGTATTAACATTTAGGTTTTAATTCAATGGCATTTTAGAATAGTGCCCCCTTGTGGGTGATTTAATCATGTTTTTGCAGAAGCCGTCTGCAGGAGATCGAAGGATTCTGTGAAGTGACAAATAGGAATAGCAGCTTTCACAATTTTATAAAACATTCAAATATTTTACATCAATTTCTATTATGAGATAGTAATAATTCTCTTTTTTAATGTTCCGAATCCAAAGAGATAGCTGTGTTGCATTTTACACTTATAACAATTTGATAAGGTGGATGCTTTTTTTTTTGAGTTGGAGTCTCACTCTGTTGCCCAGGTTGGAGTGCAGTGGCATGCTCACAGCCACCACAGCCTTGACCTGAGGGGCTCAGGTGATCCTTCTACCTCAGCTTTCCAAGTAGCTGGAACCACTGGCATGTACCACCACACCCGGCTAATTTTTTGATTTTTTTGTGGAGACAAGGTCTCGCCATGTTGTTCAGACTGGTCTCGAACCCCTGAGCTCAGGCAGTCCTCCCTCCTCCACCTCCCAAAGTGCTGGGATTACAGGCATGAGCCACCGCGCCCGGCTGAGGTGGATGCTTTTTTAAAATCTTGTTTTACAGAGGAGGAAACTGAGATTAAGAACCTGCTCGATGTCACACAGCTAGCAAGGACAGAACTGGGTACTGAATCCTGACAATTGAATTCTAGCACTCATATGATTGACCATCTGCACTTGACTTTATCTTTAAATAAAATCTAAGAGCTCAGCTACATGGTCAGACTGGAATGCTTCTTCTATTCCTCCATGCTTGATATTTTCCTGAGCATTTGATTTTTAAAAGAAAGACAACCACCCCGAGGAAAACAGTTTGAATGACTTACCTGTGCATAGTAGGATAATGTTTAAGCAGGACCTGTGCAGTTTAATCTGTATATCATTATATGTGTTTTCTGAAAATGTTTTTTTTAGATTAGTAAATATAGTCTATTTAGAAAGTAAATTTGATGGCTGGGCTCGGTGGCTCAGCCTGTAATCCCAGCACTTTGGGAGGCCGAAGTGAGTGGATTGTCTGAGCCCGCAGGTTCAAGACTCGCCTGGGCAACTTGGCGAGATCTCATCTCTACAATAAATCAAAAATTAGCCGAGCGTGGTTGCGCGTACCCGTAGTTCCAGCTACTTGGAAGGCTAAGACAGAAGGATCACCACAGCTCAGCAGGTCGAGGCTGCGGTGGCCGGGAGTGGCCACTGCATTTCCGTCTGAGTGACAGAGTGAGACTCCAACTCAAAAAAAAAAAAAAGAAAGCAAATTTGAGAGCGAGAGAGAGAAAGAAAGGAGATTCACCTCCCCAAGGTAGCGGTGGGGGCCAAAGCCAGGAAACATGGCCTGGCCATAGCTTAGCAAGGCAATGGCCTCTGAAAACATTTTAAGGTAAAAGTTAGGAAGAAAAACACTTTTTTTGAGTCAGAGTCTCACTCTGTCACCCAGGTTGGAGTGTGCACTCACGGCCACCACAGCCTCAACCTCGACCACTCAGGCGATCCTTCTGCCTCTGGCTCCTGAGTAACTGGGATTACAGGCATGTGCCACCATGCCTGGCTAATTTTTTAAAAATTTATTATAGAAACAAAGTCTTGCCATGTTGCCCGAGCTGGTCTCGAACTCCTGGTCTCAGGCAATCCTCTCACCTTGGTCTCCCAAAGTGCTTGGATTACAGGCGTGAGCCACCATGCTTCGCCAAAACACACACACACACACACACACACACACACACACACACACACACACACACATTTTACCTAGACTGCTTCATGGATGTTCAGTGTAACTACTTTTGTCTGTTTGCTGACTGATTAGACACCCCTTCCCTCCTTGTTTCACTAATTCAGGTATCAGAAGAGGGTGGCCCTGTACATCGCTGCCTTTTGTGGGAACATAGAATTTACCGAATGGGCCCTGAAGCAGGGCGTGGGGCCCCATGAGGCAGTCGGTGTTCACCCCTACCGAGCTTGGTGCCAAGAAGTCCTTCATGTGGATGTCTCTAAATGCCCCATTCATGCGGCTGCAGAAGCAGGCCAACTGTTGATTCTGAAGGTCTTTGTCCATTGCAGCGTGCTGTGCCTGGAATGCAAAAACGCAGCAGGACAGACTCCCCTGACCATCGCGTTCAAACACAAGCATAAAGACTGCGTATTATATCTGCTGAGTAAAATGTGGTCCACGGTTTGTTTTCTGAAAATTTCAGTCCCGATGAGGATTTATATTAAGATAAAACAATGGGTCCTAAGAGCTCAGGGTCACTGTCTTCAGAAAGGACAGCTCTGTGGAACAAGGGTCTTTGGGACAAAAGTTGGAGACACTATGATAGTGGATGGCTTCACCAAATCAAAAATGACCTCCAAGAGTTGGCATAAAGCTGGGAACACAGACTCACAAAGCACCTCGCACAAGCTACCACCTATCAGGGAACAAACTACAGGCAGCAAACCTGTCCATACTTTGGCAATTTCACAACCAAACACAGGAGTACAAATTCTCAAATTTCATCCGCTGGCAGATGCAAATACGTTCTCTGAATTACAAAGACATCCACAACAAAATCAGGAAAAAATCACCGCCACAGCTAGGAAAAAAGAAAAAGAAAAGCTCGTAAAAAATACGTATCTTCCCAAAGTCCCCCTCCCTTCGGTTTCAAGAGTGGGATATTCACACCCATCACTTTTGAATGCAACACCTGGTGCTGACTCCTTACTGAGGTCCTCCTTCACGTCTTCCGCGGAGCACAGCGGGAGGACACCAAGGGAGAATGCAATCTACTGCTTAGCTGTGGCAAGGTAATATCTTCTCTTTAAACATACAAAGGGCAAACCTTTCATATGGCAGCTCTAGAGCAGAAAGCCATTCAGGAAGCCCTAGTACACCACATGAAGTAACAGGTTATTCCAATGCGCTGACACCCAGCTTCAAGGACTTCATCTTAGCCTAGTGACTAGGACAAAATGAACTGATACTATTGGCCAATCCAATCTATATAGTACTTTCCTCACAAGCTTTCAGGAAGAAAAGAGACACAGTAAAAAGAGTTGTATCAATTAGCAAGGTTCCTTGCTGCTGCTACTTCCTCTTTCTCTTCCGCTGCTTCCTTCTCCTCCTCCTCCTTCTTCCTTTTTCTCATCCTCTTCTTGTTCTTCTGACACTAATAAGAAATTGTTCATTGTAGTTAAAGTGAAAAGAGCCTGAAACATGAGCAGGAGATATCAAAAGTGTCACGGAAGACTAGATAGTAACGAAAATGGAAGGGAGGAAAGAAAGAAACAATATAATAGCAAATTGAACCATAAAGACTTGAGTTGGCCAGGCGCGGTGGCTCAGCCTGTAATCCCAGCACTTTGGGAGGCCGATGAAAGAGGATTGCCAGCCTGGGGGTTCAAGACCAGCCTGGGGAACTTGGTGAGACCTCGTCTCTAATCACAAAACTAGCTGGGGGTGGTGGTGTGCGTCTGCAATTAATTAATCACAAAAACTAGCTGGGGGTGGTGGTGTGCGTCTGCAGTTCCAGCTATTTGGAAGGCTGAGGAGGAAGGATTGCCTAAGCCCAGCAGGTCGAGGCTGCGGTGACCGTGAGCGTACTGCTGCACTCCAGGCTGGGCAATAAGAGTGAGACTTCAACTCACAATAAATAAATAAATAAAAGGCTTAAGTTGACTTACTAGGCAAAATAAATAGGCGGAGGGAGATCTATATTGAATAGAGTACTAGATTTGACATTAATATTTAAGGTGAGCTAAAAAGGCACTCCATTAGCACATTTAAAGAGACAAGAAAGGGTATCAGAATTAATGTTTCAATCATATTCATTTCATAAGATAAATTTTGGTCAACAGCAATCACTGAAAACACAATGCTGATTACATCCCAGGCTCTGCGCATTATAAGGTATTATTGACTGCCTATATTATAGTAGAAGTATAGATTTATGAGTGGCTTTTTTCCTTACTCAATGTAATGAGAAGAAAAGAAAAAACAAGGCTGGATTGTTTTATTTGCCTTTCTGCATTGGTCTTTATTACTTGATCTCAGCGAGGTTGCTGCCACCTAGTGGTGAGAGTAATTTGGACTTTAAAGCTGGCAAAATTCAAATTCCAACGTAAGATTGACAATACTTTGCTTAATGGCTTTACACTTTGTTATTTGTGTGATATCGTTGACTAGGATGCATAAAAAGAGATCATCTAAAATTCTAAAGATACTAAAAAAATGATTAGTTGAAAAAATTCTACAGCCCATTTTAAATCAGGCTATAAACACAAGAAAGGGAATTCTGATTTGTTATATTAACAAACACATATTAAAAATGAGTTTACTTTTCAAACACTCAATAAGTGTTTATTATGGCCCAGTGCTGTGCTAAGCTAAATGGAAACATGCAAAAGTAAGTTTTTTGTTTGTTTGTTTGTTTGTTTGTTTGTTTTTGAGTTGAAGTCTCACTCTGTTGCCCAGAATGGAGTGCAGTGGCAGCTCCCGGCCACTGCAGCCTCGACCTGCTGGGCTCCGACCATCCTTCTGCCTCAGCCTTCCAAGTAGCTGGAACCACAGGCACGCGCTACCACGCCCGGCTAGTTTTTGATTTATTGTAGAGATGAGGTCTCGCCAAGTTGCCCAGGCGGGTCTCGAACCCGCAGGCTCAGGCAATCAACTCACCTCGGCCTCCCAAACCGCGGGATTACAGGCTGAGCCTCCGAGCCCGGCCAAATGTAAGTTTTTAAGGTGCGTATGTGTGTGGTTGAGATGAGAAAGATTGCCAGTGTCTATTATGTGGAGTGCTTCCCTCAGAGGGGATTGAGTTATGAAATATATAGTAAAATCCATAAAGATCACTAATCTTGCTTGGCATGGTGGCTCACGCCTGAAATCCCAGCACTTTGAGGCGTCAAGATAGGAAGATTACTTGAGGCCAGGAGCTCTAGACCAACCTGGGCAATATGGAGAGAAAAAATTTTTTAGTCGGGTGTGGCGGTCATGTCTGTAGTCCCAGCTACTCAAGAAGCTGAGACTGGATCACTTAAACTGGGGAGGTTGAGGTTGCAGCGACCTATGATTATGCCACTGTGCTCCAGCCTCCAAACAGAGTGAGACCTTATCTCTAAAACAACAACAAAGATCACTAATCTCACATGTATGGCTTGTTGATATTTTACATTTTCATGTAGCCACATAAGCACCACTTAGATCAGATGAGATGCGAACTCTTTCCAGCACCCCCAGAATTTCCCACGGTTCCCCACCAGTCAATAATATAACTGTTATTCCCATCACTGTCACAAAAGATTAGTTTAGTCCATTCTTGAGCTTCACATAAAGGGCATCGTATGGCATATAACTTTATTTCTGACTTTTTTTGCTCAGCACATTGCCTGTGAGGTTCATCCATGTTGTTGTGTGTATTGATTGTTCGTATTTCTATGTAGCACTCCATTTCTATGTCGTATTCCAGATCCTAATTTATTATCTGTTTTCCTACTGACAGGCATTTGGAGTGTCTCTAATTTGGGGGCTTATTTTGAATGAAAAGTGTATGCTTATTTTGCATATAAAGTTTGGTGGATATTTGCATTCATTTCTCTTGACTCTATACCTAGAAATGGAATTGCTTACGCCATAGCGTAAGTTTATGTTTAGCTTTAGTAAACATTTCCTGTTTTCCCAAGAGATTCTACCAGTTTGCTGTTTTTTGTAGATATATTGCATAGGGATTTGAGTTATTAAGGGGAGGCAATTTCAAGATCAAGAAGGAAATTGCTGGGAAAAACACCTTTTTTTTTTTTTAAAGTTGGAGTCTCACTGTCACCCAGGCTGGAGGATAGTGGCACACTCACGGCCACTGCAGCCTCGATCTGCTGGGCTCAGGCGGTCCTTCTGCCTCAGCCTTCCAAGTAGCTGGAACTACAGGCATGAGCCACCATGCCCGGCTAATTATTTATTTATTTATTTATTGTAGAGATGAGGTCTCACCAAGTTGCCCAGACTGATCTCAAACCCGTGAGCTCAGGCAATCCTCTCACCTCGGTCTCCCAAAGTGCTGGGATTATAGGTGTGAGCCACCGCGCTGGCTTTCTTTAAACCTCTTCAAAGAAAGAGGTTATTCTGAGAATGGAGAAATTGAGAGAGAGAGAGAGGAAGGAAGGGAAGGAGAGAGGAAGGGAGGGGTTGATGGAGGGAGAAGGGAAGAAGGAAAGAAGCAAGAAGGAAGGAAGGAAGGAGAAGGGAGAAGGAGGGAGGGGGAAGGGAGGAACTGAGGGAGGAAGCAAAGAAGAAAGGCAGGGAGGGAGGGATGGGGAGGGAAGCAGGGAGGGAGACAGCAAGGGGTTGGTGCCTAAGCGAGACTCACAGAAGGAGCAGTACAGTCTGACTGCACTTATGCTGCAGAGCTACTCCCAGCAAATTTTCCTTCCGTTTCTCTTTTCCCAATATTTTGATCTTCCTCTATTCATCCCCTCCACTTCCTCCCCGCCTGTTTCTGCCCCCTTTCCACAGGTCTTCCCCAGGATCTACTCCACCTTCCTTTGTTGGTGGGCCATGGAGAATGGGAGAGCTGCAGTCTCATACCCTGCACACTCTTCTGGGTCTGGTTCAAGTCCCTCGCAGGGGGCACAAAAGCACCATGTCCACCTGAAACAGCCAGTCAAGCCAGGCAGTGAGGAGGTTTGGTTGCTCTGGTGATACTACACTAGCATCATGGCCAGGAGATGGGGAAGAATTAAACATAGTCCATCATCATGCTGGCCCAGGGAATTAGATCAGCATGGATAAAGCCACCATCAGATATTCCTGTTATATAGAAGAGAAGTCTCCCAAACCAGACATGTTCCCTGGCAACAGGTGAAAGGCCTGCTGGACCACGTATCACTCAGCAACTCTAACCTTAGATTCATGGAAATATATCTCTCAGAGTTAACTCCAATATGGCACTGATGCCGTTAATTCAGAACAAGTGTTAATGTGGGTCTGGGTTGACGAGGGCGTGTGGCTGGTATAGGCAGGTTATTAAATTTTTATATTTTCATAATCTGTGTAAGTACCACTCAGATCAGTGACTGAGGCCAGAAGTTCACACAGGGTCTCATTCCTCAGCCTAGAAGATGAGATAGTGTAGCCTTTACATAGAACAAAGGATATTTCTAAGGTGTGTCTAGAAAACAACCTTCCATATTATTTCTCGTCCAATTCCAGTGAAGTTAATGTGACCTAGGAGTCCAGGTTAATAAATAAATATTCAAATGTAAGGAATTGGCCCAGCAGGTCAGGAGTTTGAGTGGACTGAGAAGAGACTATAATTCCAAATGCTGACTTTGATGGGTTCTCGTGTTCCAGTTAAAAATACAGCTTTTTGTTTTTATTCTTTATGAAAAAGCATGTCCCGTGTGTTTTATTCACTTTTTAATTTTAATTTTATTTATTTATTTTGAGTGGGGGTCTCACTCTTGTCGCCCAGGCTGGAGTGCAATGGCATGATCATGGCTCACCACAGCCTCGACCTCCTTGGCTCAGGTGATCATTCCAACCTTAGTTTCCTGAGTAGCTAGGACTATAGTCCCACACCACCAGGCCCAGCTAATTTATTTTTGTTTTCATTTTTGTAGAGACCAGCCTGGACCAGCTATGTTGTCCAGGCTGGTCTCAAACTCCTGGGCTCAAGCAACCCTCTCATGTAGCCTCCCAAAGTGCTAGGGTTACAGGAGTGAGCCTTTTATTCACTTTTTGTATCTTCAGCACATAGAATAGTACTGCTCAAACATGCAGAAAGGTCAGGTTTCAAATGCCAGGGAGAAAATCAGAATGGGTTCTGAGCCTAGGAAGAGTCAGGATATGTGACAGAATGGGAGAGAGAAGACTGCAAATTAAGTCAAGTGGGGTATGGGGAATGGTTAAAGGTGCCTGAGTGATTTCCTTAAGACTTAAGACTTAATTGTATGAACACCATGAGCAAGTTAGCCCATTTCAGAGGGCCCAGGAAGGCATAGATATTGAGGTAAAGTAAAGAGTTAATCCAGAACAAGGAAGTTGAATCAAGCGGCATGTACCTGGTTCAAATGTTTGAAACACTATAGTATTTGTATGCAAGGTTGCTCCTAGTGGATTGAGTGAAAAAGCCTTTAAATAATCTACAGGGCCGGGCACAGTGGCTCACGCCTATAATCCCGACACTTTGGGAGGCCGAGGTGAAAAGATTGCCAGAGCCTCCAGGTTCGAGACCAGCCTGGACAACTTGGCGAGATTTCATCTTTACAATAAATGAAAAAATTAGGCAGAGGCAGAAGGATCACCTGAGCCCTGCACTCCAGCCTGGGCAACAGAGTGACACTCTGACTCAATAAATAAATAAATAGATAATCTACAGGACTTTACCAGAGAAAAGGGGCGGTGGTGAGAGAAAGCACCCAGGTAGAGGCGAGAAATATGGTCAAAGGCACTGCTTAGTGAGAGGGCAAGCAAACCATTTAGTGTTCAGGAAAGTAAGTGGATTTGCAAATGGCATTTTAGGGGACAGAGAGAAAGTCACCAGAAATAAGCTGGCAAACAGGAAAGCACCTACATTAAGAAGCATTTGTGTGACCATGTGGAAAATGTCCTTCTTATTCCTTATTCCATGGGGTGAGTGGTGGGTAGGAGCTTCAGAGAAGTTTTTTGGGGTTTTTTTGGTTTGGTTTTGTTTTGAGTTAGAGTTTTACTCTGTCACCCAGGCTGGAGTATAGTCACATGCTCATGGCCACTGCAGCCTCAACCTGCTGGGCTCAGGCGATCCTTCTGTCTCAGATTTCCAAGTAGCTGGAACTACTGGCGCACACGACCACACCTGGCTAATGTTTTTTTTTTTTTTTTAATCTACTGTAGAGAGAAGGTCTTACCAAATTGCCCAGGCTGGTCTTGAACCTCTGGACTCAGGTAATCCTCTCACCTCAGCCTCCCAAAATGCTGGGATTACAGGCATGAGCCACCCTGCCTAGCAGATATTAGATATTTTTATAATCTTTAGCTGAAATGCAATGGAATTTAATGTTTTATGATTGTTAGGACTTGAAAATTTGAACAGGATTACTCTTACTTTGTAGGATGCAAATGTGATTTATTCCAGAGGAGTTTGACAAGTCATTAAATGTTGGGGTTCTCTAAGATTCTATCTTTGGTCCTCCTCACTTTCTGTACTCTCATCCTAGGAAGCCTCAGTTATCCATTGCTTCATTCCCTTATCTGTGACTCCTAAATCCTGACCTTTCTTAAAAGTTGTGTATCTCCAATTACCAAGTAAAAATATCTATCCCGTACACAGTTCAACTTAACTTGTCTTTAATCTTTTTCCTAAACTTTTCTTTCTTCTGTATCATTCTTCTAACGTATTGACTGTGCTGTCCTCACCATCTCCAAAGCTAGAAACAAGATTCAATTCCTGGTTTCTCCACTTTCACACCCAGGTATGGCCACATTTTGTAGCTTATTCTCCAGAAATCTCTCTTATAGATGGCTGTTCCCCTTTTCTCTAACAACTTCCAGATTTTGTTTTCAAAAACAAACAAAAATTCTTGGGTCACAACAGATACTAAAATAAAGAAATTTTTAAAAACAGACACAAATTGATTATGTGACTTACCTTATGTAAAAAAGAACTTTGACCGGCCCAAAGTTGTGGATTCAAAACTTCTAGTATTGGGCCATTGCCTTGCTAGACTCTGCTGTGGCCATGCGCTCTCTGAGCTATGGCTGTCGCTGTGCTGCCTGGCTTTGATCCTCCTCCCTCACCTTGGGGAGGTGAATCTTCTCTCTCTCTCTCTCTAATTTACTTTAAATAAACTATATTTTCTAATATTAAAAAAAACTTCTAGTATTGCCTTGAGAAAAATATCATTCCCACTGTATCACAGGGAACTTGTTTCAGAAAGATTCCTTTTTTCTTATATATAATCTTATATTTTTTTATTTACATGTTATATATTTATACTATTCTATATAATAACATTATATAGAATAGTATATATTTACATTATTATATTTTATATTATTACCAAATATATATATGATATATATAGTATATGTATGTGTGTGTGTGTGTGTGTGTGTGTGTATATAATATATATTTTTTTTATCTTGAGATGGAGTCTCCCTATGTTCCCCAGGCTGGCCTTGAACTTTTGGCCTCAAAGGATCCTCTGCCTTGGACTCCCAAACTGCTGGGATTACAGGCATGAGCCACCACACCTAGCCAAGAAAGATTCCTGTTTCTATTTCACATTCTATCTATGTGACGAGACATTCTATCTATGTGACGAGACAAACTAGCCACAGTTGCAAATCAACCTGAAGATGTCCATCCTTTCAGCTATGTATGGTGATGAGATTGGGTTTCCTTTTAAAATGTGTCTTGTTTTCTTGCAGTGCCTTTAAAGAGAAACGATGGCTTCAGCAGTTAGGAATAGCAAGAGTCCTGGCCAAAAAGAGCATTTCCAACCCAAGGACTACTCAAGGAAGCCTGGCAGCTGATGTGAAAACCCTCCAGAGATTGTACTTTAAAAAGTCGTAACGATCCCAATTTGGACAAAGACCTGATCAAAGAGAATCCCTCATCCCAATGTTAACATTTCCAATAACAGTTCTAATGCTATCATCTCTAATAATAGTTCTGCTACACAACTTTCAACAGGACATTTAACATTTAACACCATGTTTTCTTGGACTCCATCACCTTAAGGGAAAATTGTGTGTGTGTGTGTGTGTGTGTGTGTGTGTGTGTGTGTGTGTGTGTGTGTGAAGAACCTGAGGAAGAATTCATAAGAAACTGAAGACAGTGGTTGTCTATGGAATAGGGGAACTGAGAGGATGAAAAGGGAGTAAAAATTTGTAGTGTTTCTTTTTTTGTTTTTCTAAGTTTCTTTTAATGCATTTTTTTAGGCCATATGAAAGTAGAACATAGCCAGGCTCAGTGGCTCAGCCTGTAATCCCACGCCTTTGGGAGGCCGAAGTGAGTGGACTGCCTGAGCCCGCGGGTTCGAGACCCGCCTGGGCAACTTGGCGGGACCTCATCTCTACAGTAAATCAAAAATGAGCCGGGCATGGTAGCGTGCACCTGTAGTTCTGGCTACTTGGAAGGCTGAGGCGGAAGGATCGCCGGAGCCCAGCAGGTCAAGGCTGCGGTGGCCAGGAGCGGCCACTGCCCTCCAGTCTGGGCGACCAAGTGAGATTCCAACTCAAAAAAGAAAGAAAGAAAGAAAGAAAGTAGAACATGAGAAAAAAAAATTTTTTTTAATTCTATAAAAGGAAAGTCCCTAGGAAGGTTACAAATACCATCCAGGTCTAGTGCTGGTCTCAGACATCTTTTAAATTTCTGCTAAAACATTGATATTTTTAATTTTTTTAAAAATTGAGATAAAGTTTATATACAATAAAATACATAGTTTTGTTTGTTTTTTTTTTGAGTTTGAGTCTCACTCTGTCGCCCAGACTGGAGTGCAGTGGCCGCTCCTGGCCACCGCAGCCTCGACCTGCTGGGCTCCGGCAGTCCTTCCGCCTCAGCCTTCCAAGTAGCTGGAACTACAGGCGCGCGCTACCACGCCTGGCTAATTTTTTGATTTATTGTAGAGATGAGGTCTCATCAAGTAGCCCAGATGGGTCTCGAACCCGCGGGCTCAGGCAATCCACTCACCTCAGCCTCCCAAAGCATGGGATTACAGGCTGAGCCACCGAACCCAGCTCTAAATCTTAAATGTAAGATTCAGTGGGGTTGCCAAATATATATAACCTGCATAAGCAATATCTCAATCAAAACATAGAACACTTTCATTATTCTAGAAAGTCCTTTCATGCCCCTTTCTAAGTCAATCCCAACTCCTACAGGTAACTGCTATTCTGATGTTTTATTTTACTTTATTTTATCTTTGAGTCAGGGTATCACTCTGTCACTCAGGCTAGAGTGCAGTGGCATGATCACAGCTCACTGCCACGCCAAACTCCTGGACCCAAGCGATCCTCCTGCCTCAGCCTCCTGAGTACTAGAGCTACAGGAACACACTACCATGCCTGGCTAAATTTGATATTTTTTTGTAGAGACAAGATCTTGCCTAGACTGGTCTCAAACTCTGGGGCTCAAGCACCTTGGTCTCCCAAAGTTCTGGGAATACAGGAGTAGTAGTAATTATTACTTAGTATTCTATAATATAGACTCACCATAGTTTATCTGTTCAACTGTATAGATGTTTGGGTTGCCTCCAGTTCTGAAGAATTATGAATAAAGCTCTTTGAACATTATTGTAAAGGTCTTTTTTTCTGGATATATATTTTTATTTTATTTATTTATTTGGGGTAAATAGGAGTGGAATTTTTAGGTAATAGGGTGAATGTACATTTAACATTATAAGAAGTTGCCTAAGAATTCTCCAAAGTGGTTTTACAACTTCACATTTCCACTAGCAATGTACAAGGGTCGGGCTGCTTCACACACCCACTAACATACGGTGTCACCAGTGGTTTTTATTTTTAGTCATGCTAGTGGGTTTGAAATGACATATCACTGTAGTTTTAATTTGCATTTTCCTGATGACTATGATGTGGGGTGCTTTTTTGTGTGCTTATTGGTCATCTGTATATATCTTCTTTGGTAAAGTATCAACTTAAGTTTGCCTATTTTGAAAATTGGGTTGCTCGTCTTTTAATTCTTGGTTTATTGGAGATTTTTATGTACTTTTGATACAAGTTCTTCATCAGATGTACGTATGGTGCATATTTTTCCCAGTATGTGGTTCACCTTTTCATATTATGAATGATGTGTTTTGATAAACAAAAGCTTTTAACTTTAATGAAATGCAATTTATTGGGGTTTTTTTCTTTTATGGTTCATGTCTTTTTTCTTAAGAACGTTTTGCTGACCCTAAAGTGATTGTTGGGAGCTGGCCACGGAGGCCCACTGAGCATTAGGGATCAGGAAAGGCCGTTGACCCTGAGACCACTAAGATGCGTTTGGGAGCTATTGACCCCATTTCCTCCCCCTTTCTACTCAGCACTAACCAGATTAAGCTCCTGTGAACTCAAAACATAAAAACTCTGAGACCGGGATGAACACAAGCTAACTTTAGAAGCTCATTGCTCCCATTCTTCCACAAACTGCAGTTTTGGCTTTCACACAACTTATAATTCAAACTCGGGTCACATCTAAGAGACTTAGTATTGGTCACAGGCTTCTGGGTCATGATCTTAGGATTTATTGAAGTTGAATAAATGGATTAAGGTTTCATCGATTAGGTATGGGATTATACCTGAAAGAACATCTGGTGGGTGGGGAATGCCCCTCACACACCTGACTGTGTATAAAAGACCAGTTGTAATTCCTATTAAACAGCTTCTGCACTAGACTGGGGTCCAGTCTCTCTCTCTCTCTCTCTCTCTCTCTCTCTCTCTCTCTCTCTCTCTCTCTCTTTCTCTCTCTCTTTCTCTCTTTCTCTCTTTCTTCTTCCCCCCAATCGCCAATGCCATCTCCACCTTTGGGGTACCCTGAACCTGGCTGGAGCTGGTCTCCGGCAAGTAGCGCCTGAACGTGGGACCTCAAGGTAAGCTTTCTTTTTCTTTTTCGGGACAGATAGGACCTCACCCAGGGGCCACGGACCCCTCTGTAGAGACAGGCAGAGCAAGGAAGGGTGAGCAGTTTAAGAGCTGTGATAGAATCATGGGCCAGAGTGAATCTAAAGAAAGGAACATGTCCACTAGTATTTTGAACATATTGTCCAATAGAGGAACCAATTGGCTTACCTTTTGCATTTTATATGCCTTAGCTTTATGGAATATTATCCGAGATGCTTTAAATCCACAGCACAATTTCTCTAAAATTCCATCCAAAAATAAAGACACTCCCCTGCTGGCCGTAGCCTCGGCACCTCCTTTAGATGATGAATTTTTCCCCGAGGAGGAAATGGAGTTGGAGGAGGAAGTGAATGGGTATCATAAGCGAAAAAATCCTGGTAATGTTGCCAAGGTACTTCCTCCCATACCCTTTACTAGAAATAAGGTGAAAACACCGAAATTCACACCTGGGTATGTGTCTCCGGCTAATGTAGGTACGTAGGGAGCCAGAAAAAAGGCTGAGAAAAAGGGAGATTTTACCCTGTCTTCTTGCTTTCCAGTAATTTATATGGAAGAAGGCACAGTAAACGAGGCACCTCACTGGGAGCCGCTACCATATAAATTAATTAAGGAACTTAAAGAGGCTTGTACTCAGTATGGTCCTACGGTTCCTTATACTATTACTATTATGGAACAATTTGCCACTTGGTGGATGACACCACAAGATTGGCGACAACTTGCTAAAAGCTGTTTGTCAGGAGGAGCCTATTTACTATGGGAAACTGAATTTGAAGATCAAGTAAGGATCCAAAGAACTGTTAACCAGCAGAGGGATCCAAATCAGTTTCATATTTCTAGCAATATGTTGTTAGGAAAAGGATTATATGAATCAGTTGACAGTCAACTAATCTTACCCAAGGAAGTTTTACTCCAGGTAAGTTCTTGTGCAAGTAAGGCTTGGAAGAAGTTACCTATAAATACTACTCAGACTACCTCACTATCTGATCTTAAGCAGAAAACAGATGAAACTTACGAGGAGTTTCTCTCTAGACTTACAACAGCAGTAAATAGAGTAATCTCTAATGCAGAAGCAGCAAATATCCTTATTAAACAGTTGGCTTTTGAGAATGCTAACCAGTACTTGCTAAGCTTTGATTAGGCCGATTAGAAGAACAGGACAATTAACTGATTATATCAGGCAGTGTGCTGATATTAACCCTGCCGTTATGCAGGGTATGGCAATAGCCACCGCCTTGAAGGGAGAAACTTATGCACAATTTGTGCAGGGAATGCAAAATGATAACAATAAATCAAAAAACAGCTCGGTTTTAACTTGTTATAACTGTGGGCAGCCTGGCCATATTAGTAGGGACTGCCCAGCTAAACAAGGGTTGCAGGAAGCCCTGATGCAACAGCCCAATGAGAGCTCTCAACCAAAGTCTCTGTGTCCCAGGTGTCAGAAAGGATTTCATTGGGTTAGGGATTGCAAATCCAAATTTCATAAAAATGGCACTCTGTTAACTAAACAATGATCTACGGTGCCAATTCCGGGAAATGGGCAGAGGGGCCGGCCCTGGCCCCAAGTAACAATAGGGGCAACTTTCGGCATGAACCCATTTGTTCCCTTTGTCCCATCTCAGAACTCATCAGAGCCACCCCAGGGAGCACAGGACCTTTCCTCCATCACAACAATATTAACTCCAGGTGTTCCAGTTACCCCAATTCCAATGGGAGTGAAGGGCCCTCTCCCGGATGGAATAGTGGGTATAATATTAGGAATAAGTTCCTTGTCTCTACAAGGAGTTTCTGTGATTCCTGGAGTGGTGGACTCTGACTACACAGGGGAAATTCAGGTACTTGTTGCTCCCCATAGCAAAACCGTGCAATTTCATGAAGGTCAAAGAATAGCTCAGTCACTACTCTTACCCTATCATAACATGGGCAAGTCTCTAACCGATAAGCCCAGTGGTGACTCTGGATTTGGCTCAAGCAATTTCACTTTCTGGGTT